AGTCTAAAGTCCAGAGAGATGAACTTTGAAGATCAAAGGAAGGAGAAAGGAAAGGCTATCTCAAATGCACTTCAGGCAGAATTAGAGAAAGAAGATGTTGCTCCGGAATATGATGATGATGCAGAAGAATGTCTCAATAATGTGGCATTTCAGATTCAGAAATTCAATAGGGCGTACAGACGAAGTGGAATCAAGCCCAGACAATTATTTCCAGAAGGCTCTCCACAAAATCGACAAACTCAGCCCTGGAACAGATCTATTCCACAGAGAACATTTCCTCAAACATCTTCTCAAAACATTTCAAAAAATTCTTCATTTATTCGTTCAAATTCTGAACCACCTAACTTGGATCATATTAAATGCAGGGCATGTTCAGGATTTGGACATTATGCTAATGAATGTGCAAATACCTTGAGAAGAAGAGGAATGAGTCTGATTTGTGCAGTCAGTGATGAGGAGGAAGAGCAACCTGAACAGACAGAGGAAGAGCAATCCTCTAAACAAGCTCTTTCAGTCAGATATCTCACTGGAAGTGCCTCTGAAACAGAATCACAAGGAGTTCCTCTGGATGCTGCAACACTTTCTGAAACACTTTCAGTAACTGAAATTTCAGAGTTTAATACTGATCATTATACATGTTTAAACTCTATTTCTTTGAATGCAGCAGAATCCAGTAATGAAGCAGTTAGTGATGAGGAAGAAATGTGTAAGAAGCTGATCAACAACTTGGAGAAGAAGACTCAAGCTCTAGATGCAGCCAACAAGGAAAATTCTTCCCTTAAAGAAACAATCACACATTTGGAGGTAGGTATCACCAAAAAGGATCTTGAACTGGCAAAGGTGAAAGATGAACTCAAAGAAGCGACTCTAGCAATCAAGAGGATGAATACCGATACAACTAAACTCAAAGAGATTGTGTCACTGGAGAAATACAACAAAAATGAAGGTCTAGGGTTCAAAAACCAAGTGAAGAAACACAAGCCAGTAAAGAAGAAGGAGATTGTCTTTGTAAAAGAGAAGGGTTCAAATGGAAAAGAATGCAGAAATTCCACAATCACCACTTCAGAGTCCAGAATAAGGGGATACAGTTGTCATGACTGTTTCTCACCAGGTCATATCCGTCCATTTTGTGAGAAACTAAGTAGTGACAAAATGTTGTACAGGATGAGTCACAGCACTCCAGGGAACACTTCCAAGAAAAAGGTAGAATTTACCAAAAAGGAGTGTAGAATATGGACTCCCAAAGGTAAACTTATGTGCAAAGCAGTATACACTTCTTTAAATGCTAACATTTCAGGTTCATGGTACTTTGATAGTGGATGCTCTAGGCACATGGCTGGAACTAAAGAGTTTCTATCAAACTACCATACACTAAATGGTGGACGTGTAACCTATGGAGGAGGAACTAAAGGCAAAGTGGTTGGACGTGGAACACTCAGTATTGATGGACTTCCAAAACTTTCAAATGTTTTACATGTTGAAGGATTGGGGTCAAATCTCATCAGTTCCAGATCAATGGATAATTGTTATCAAACAGGTGACACCATCTCATGCAAGAGCTCAAGAGTAAGTGAAGTAGAGCTGTGGCACCAGAAGCTAGGGCACACAAACTTCAAAAATCTGAAGCTGCTCAACAAGTACAATTCCATAAGAGGAATTCCAGATCTCAAGATCAAGGACATCCCTATATACGGAATGTGCCAGAAGGGAAAGCAAACTAGAGTACCACACAAAGTGTTACAACCCGTTGGTACCACCATTTATTTTGAACTTGTACATATGGATCTTATGGGTCCTATAGAGGTAGAAAGCCTAGGTGGTAAAAAATATGTACTTGTGTGTGTTGATGATTTTTCGAGATACACTTTGGTGTATTTTTTAAGAGAAAAATCTGATCTAGAATACATGCATGTGTTTGGATGTGTTTGCTATGTCCTAAATGATAGAGATCATCTAGCTAAATTTGATTCAAAAAGTGATTTGAGTTTATTTGTGGGATACTCTAACAACAGTCATGCGTATAGAGTATATAACTTAAGAACTCGAACCCTTATTGAATCTGTAAATGTGGTATTTGATGATTTTGCTGATCTCCGCAGTAAAACAGCTGAAGATGAAGTTGATGACCTGATTGCTGAAGGAGAAACAACCAGAGGAGACACTACTGCCACAGATGCTCCAGATATAAACAGTCCAGTTTCAAGAGAAGAGGGTGTTGAGCCAAGTGTTACCACATCTGACTCAATACAGCCTACAGAGAGCACAGAAGCTGAATTGCAGTCAACTCATGATGTCTGCAGAAAGGAACCATCAAATAGAATCCAGAATAATCACCCCTCTACTCAAGTTGTGGGAGATATCTTTGATGGAATAAGGACCAGAAGAAAAGAGAGAGTGAATTACAGAGATATGGTAAGATTTGCAAATTTATCTTCTGAATGTGCACTAACTCGAACTATTTGCTTTGTATCTTCAGTCGAACCAAGGAATATTGCAGAAGCACTGAAGGATGAATTCTGGATCAATGCAATGCATGAAGAACTGAATCAGTTCATCAGGAATGATGTTTGGTACTTAGTTCACAGATCAAGTCAAGTAAATGTGATAGGAACTAAGTGGATCTTCAAAAACAAAACTGATGAAAAAGGTACAGTTGTTAGAAATAAGGCTAGATTAGTAGCACAAGGTTATACTCAAATTGAAGGTATAGATTTTGATGAAACCTTTGCTCCAGTAACTAGAATTGAATCTATTAGGTTACTTCTTGCTATAGCCTGCTTTCTTAAAATCAAACTGTATCAGATGGATATCAAAAGTGCATTTCTAAATGTTTTTTTAATTGAAGAAGCATATGTAGAGCAGCCCAAGGGTTTTGAAGATTCTGCCAAACCTGATCATGTGTTCAAGCTTAAGAAGGCTTTGTATGGTCTTAAACAAGCTCCTAGAACTTGGTATCAAAGACTCACTGACTTCTTACTTGAAATACAATTTTCTAGAGGAAAAGCAGACAGAACTCTATTTGTTAGAAGAACAAATAACTATATCATTATTGTACAGATATATGTTGATGATATTGTTTTTGGTTCTACTTGTGCTAACCTCTTACAGTCTTTTGTAGATTCTATGTCTCACACTTTTGAAATGAGCATGGTAGGAGAGTTGAATTACTTCCTAGGACTCCAGATCAAACAGACAGGTGAAGGAATCTTTGTAAATCAAAAGAAGTATGCTCTAAATCTGGTCAAAAGGTTTGAGTTGGAGTCAGTCAAGCACGTGAAAACTCCAATGGGTTCAAGTCAAAAACTGTCTAAGGATGATGTTGCTGAAGATGTTGACAACACCCTATACAGAAGCATGATTGGAAGTTTTCTGTATCTAACTGCAAGCAGATCTGATATTATGTTTAGTGTTTGTGTGTGTGCCAGGTATCAAGCTAATCCCAAGGTCACTCATCTTAAAGATGTGAAGAGGATTATTAGGTATGTTGCAGGTACAGTAGACTTAGGCATTCAGTTTTTCAAAGACACTAATACAAATTTGATAGGCTTTAGTGATTCTGATTGGGCTGGGGATATTAGTGACAGAAAAAGCACATCAGGTGCATGTTTCTTTTTGGGGAATAATTTGGTTTCTTGGTTTAGTAGAAACAAAATTGTGTATCTCTCTCAACAGCTGAATCAGAATATGTAGCTGCTGGAGGATGTTGTGGTCAACTAATTTGGATGAAACAAATGTTGGGAGATTATGGGTTGACCATTGATACCCTGACCATATATTGTGATAATTCAAGTGCTATTGACATTTCAAAAAATCCTGTTCAACACTCACGAACTAAACACATAGATATTAAACATCATTTTATTCGTGATATAGTTGAGAAAAATATAGTGTGCTTAAAGTACATTCCTACAGAAGATCAGCTGGCTGACATCTTTACAAAGGCATTAGATTATGAGAGGTTTTCTAAACTCAGAAAATCTCTCGGGATGTGTACCCAATAAACATGTCCTGAAATATGTTGCAGCACCGCATCAAACATCTTAAGCAGCAACATAATTTACTGAAGCTTAGCTTCTTTAAATAATGACTTCACTGTGATGAATTATTTTTCTAAATAAGTAACTGGAAGTCTTTCACCTTGAAACGTGATCATGCTTCATGTAAACATTTGGGAAATAATTCCACTCACATAAGTCAAACTCCTCTATTTTGATAGTCATATCTTAGTAACTGAGGAACCTTCCAACTGAACACTTGATCATGTTCCATGTGAATTGTTTGACTTGACAATAAGAGTTTAAACCAAAAAAAAAAAAAAAAAAAAAAAAATTAGATATATATATAATAAAATCTATGCATGTTAGCCAATTTTTTTTTACACTATTAATCATTAATAAACTTGTGTTTTTATTTTTGTGAATATTTCGTGAGTGATACTATTATTTTTTATTATATTGAATTATCACTATTTATATGGGTCATGGGGTACATGGGTTAGTCTTTTATTTTCCACTAAGTCCACTCCTTATTGTGCCATGTGTCACATTTTGCTTTAAACTGCCAAAGGAAGTGTTATTCTCCTTAATCACACTTTCTCCAAGAAAAATGCACACCACTTCTTCACCTTCTCCACTTCAATTTTTTCTGCAAAAATTAGGGCTTACAAATTTCGTGCTTCTTTTTCGAAAATTCACACTCAAAAATCAAAAGCACAAGAAGCAATTTTTTATCTACTGTATCATGGCATCTCCTCCTAGAAATCCTCTTCCTGCCGATTGGTGATGTCCACAACGATGCTGCAGCACCTGAACCAGCAGACCAAAATCTAGCCATCATCGTTCATTCTGTCAACCTTGAAGCTATGCCGATCAGCTTTATTGAGCCCGGAGACGAGATGAATCGGATTGACCCAGTCACCTTCCAGAACGTGGGTCCCTCTTCCAATGCAGGAAGGATTCCAACTCGCCGGTCCAAGCGCATGAATCCCTTCCCAGATCTGAATGCTACTGGATCACAACGCCGATGGGGAAGACATTCTCCCAGCAGAGGCGGCAGAGGTAGAAGAAGAGGCAGCAGAGTCGGTCGCACTCCAGTTAGGCCAAACCCACCAAGAGGCCTTCATTTGGTTGATGAAGAAACTGATGATGAAGAAGGAGATCCTGCTTTTGCAGAACCAAGCCCAAGCTCTCTCCTCAAGCTCCACTGAGTCATCTTCCAAAGACTCACCTCCACTAGCATCAACTAAGGGGGAGACATTTCAGTCCAACATGGCAGCAACTCCCTCTCAACATCTTGTTTCCGAAGATGTTGCTGCACATGTTCCTGAAAATGCTGCTGCACCTACTGTCTCAGACAATGCTTCTCAAAATGTTGCTGAGGATGCTGCTCCCTACCAGGATGAGGAAATGCCTGATTTTTCTGGGATGTCTTCTGCTGAGCATGTAGACATTCCCACTGTTGATGCCCAGGATTTCACCACCACTGAAGAAACACCCTCTGCTCCAAATGAAGATCCTCTGGAAACTCTGGCAGAGGCAGCTGTTCAAGTGGATGCACCACCTTCCCAAGCTGAAGAAGAAGAGAAAAGTGATGATAGCTGGGAAGTTCTCCTTGCCTCATTTCGCAAAAATTTGCCACCTTCAGAGTCAGACAGTGACTCGTCTGAGGAATTCTCTCAGATGCAGGAAGATGTTGCCCCACGTGTTGCATCACCTGAGCCAGCATACATCCCAGATGAACTTGAAGACTCAGAAGAAGAGGAATCTTCTGAGGAAGAAGAGCTGAAATTGGATGGGAATGATCTGTCAACTCCTTTTGAGGTAAACAATGCTTTCAGTACAACCTTTTATTTTGAATCTGATTCAAATTTGAGTCCTCAAATCATGAATTGCCAATTCATTGAGGAGAAGAAAATTTCCAAGGATGAGTTTAATAGACATAGGATTACTGATTTTCGTGATCAAAGAAAAATCCTTAGTCTAGTTGAGATTGCCTGTTCTTATGATCCCTCTGTTACAAACCTCTTTTTTAAAAAATTTCCAAACTTTGGCAAAGTTTTTGTGTGAAATTTCATTTTCTTTTTTTTTCCCAAAATTATCAACTCTCATTTACAAACTCCTACTGTGATTGATGAGGATAATTATGGTGATTTTACTGAGGTTTGTAAGACTCTTTCTGGCAATCGTTTAAAATGTTGGCCTGCTCACCCTAGAAAATTCAAAGTTTCTCAAATCACTGCATTTTATTCTGTCTTGTTCAGACTCACAGTGATGAATTGGATTCCATCCAAAAATGTCTCTGTGGTTACTAAACCTCATGCAGTACTCATGTACAAATTGGGGATGGGATTACAAGTTGATTTTGGCAAACTTTCTTTAAAAATTTAGGTCATCTTGCCCAGAAAATTTCATCCTCCACTCATCTTTCGTATCCTTCTCTCATCTACTCCATTCTGTTTTCTCAAAATTTGGGCCAAGATGAATCATAATATCTTCACACTCCACTTGGCATGATAACTGTTTCACAAAATTTTCTCAAAGCTACTCATGTCCAAGATCTTCCCTGGAATGGAGATAATTTTCTCTCAACTGAATCAGGTCAAAATAATCTTGGTACTGAAGGTGTTGCTCCTCATGTTGACAACACCCCTGACAATCTTGTTTCTGTTCCTAGAGATCTCTTGTTACAACAGCTTACTCACTCTCTAGCTCAGATTACCTATCACCAGTCCATGGTGGAAATGCTCCAAAAAACTCTTTCTGATCAAAAAGGGGGAGAAAAATCTAGTCATGAAGTTGAAGCAGGGACTTCTCATCATTTGGATGCCAGAGGCAGAGAACATGGAGTTAATGAAGAAGAAGAAAAAAATGAGGGTGAAGCTGAAGGAGCAAAGGAAAGCAGCAGCAGCTGATACTGAGGACACTTTGGATATTCTGCTCTAAAGTTATTTTTATGAACAATATTTGCAGCAGCAGCTGATACTGAGGACACTTTGGATATTCTGCTCTAAAGTTATTTTTATGAACAATATTTGTTTTTGTTCAGTTTGTTATTTTCCCTCTGATCTTTTATGCTAGGATTGCACTATTATTGTTATTTGCTATATTGGTTATCATATTCAGGGGGAGTTCAAGCAATGACTCAGGGGGAGTTAAGCTAAAATTTAGTTTTGATCAGAAAGTTAAAAAGGGGGAGTTTCAAACACGTGGATTATATTATTTCCACATTGTGTTTTTAACTTTCTTATTTTTTAAACTAAATTTTAGTTATGGAATAAGTAGTGCTTAGTGGGTTAAGTATAGTGCTTAGTGGGTTAAGTATAGTGCTTAGTGGGCTAAGTAGTGCTTAGTGGATTTAATTGTGGATTTTATTCTAACTTCCTAACTAACCCACTAACCCATGTTCTTGAGTGCTCTTGTGGTTGGTTTTCTTGCAAATCATGGGCTGAGTAGTGGATGCTTGGAATGCTTATAAATACCGAATTCAATACTCAAGGAAGATTATCGATTCTACGAAATAAAAAACCGAGAGCTGAAAAGAATACATGAGTGTTTTAAAGTGGTTTTAGAATCGGTCGTTTGTACTCTTCATGAGTATAATCTTTACGTACTCCTCATGAGTACATTCTTTACGTACTTCTCATAAGTACATTTTTTGTAGTCTAGATTGTTTAGTATATATGTTTCTAGACTTGGTTGTAAGAATGATCAAGATAGTGATTCATTCATAAGTTCTTTACGTACTCCTCACGAGTACATCTTTGAAATCTAGAATTTTTAATATTTTTCTTTTAGTATCTAGATTTGATTGTAAGAATGATCTTGAAAAAGATTCATTCATAAGGAAGAAGTTTTCGCACCTCTTATGTTTGTATTCTTGGAATACTGATTTTAATATATTTTTCCGTCCTGTAAAGGGCAAGTTCACAAGTCTTTACTTGTGAACATTTTTAATTCTGAGTATTGTTCTTTTATCTTTATATTTCCGCTGCATGTTTGTTCAAGTGTCATAACACTTAAGATAACACCTCTGTATTAAACGAATTCGGGACCATAAATTCTTTCAGCTTTCTTGTTTTTTTTGTCTTTTTAATTGCTTTAGTTTAATTTAGCTTATTAATCATCTTTCGACTGTGTAGGGTTCGACTGTGTAGGGTGGGCTTGGTAACAATTGGTAGAATTTAGCGTCTAGGATTAGATAATTAAATATTCCCTGTGGGTTCGATATCCGGACTTTTAGTCCACTATATTACTTGTACGATACGTGCACTTGCGTGTAGGTTTTCGACCAACAAGTTTTTGGCGCCGTTGCCGGGGAATATTTTAATTATTTATTTTATTCTAGCTCTAGATTTGAACAATTTTCACGATTCACCCATTTAATTTTTGTTTTATTTTTTTTAGGTACTGTGTATGCGTAGAAGACTCGATCTTGCTAGAGAACCGTTTGATCCCGAAATCGAACGTACTTTTCGAGCGGCTAGGAGACTTCAACGCGAAAACAATATAATGGAGGACGAAGAACGCAGGGCCGCGGGCAATTTACTCGAGGCCAACGGAGACCCACCACCTCAACTTCCAGCACAACCAGCAGTTCGTCCACGAGCACTTCAAGATTACATAATCCCAACTCTAGACGGATTCCGCCCAAGCATCCAATATCCACCCATTGAGGCGCACAATTTTGAGATCAAGCAAGGCCTTTTGACGATGCTCCAAAATAACGGGCTATTTAGTGGGTTGGCAGGTGAAGATCCCCATCTTCACATTGTCAATTTTCTAGATACCTGTAATTCCCACCGTCAAAACGGTGTTTCCCAATAGGCGCTTCAATTAATTCTCTTCAAGCACTCCCTACAAGGAAGAGCTCGCCAATGGTTGATGTCCCAAGCCCCCCACTCTATCTCGTCGTGGCCTCAACTCCTCAACCTTTTCATGAAAGTCTATAGCTCACCCGAGAAGGACGAGAGAATCCGACGAGAAATTCACAATTTTGTCCAAGAGCAAGGCGAGCAATTATACGAGGCATGGGAGAGATTTAAAACTCTTTTGCGGCAGTGTCCAACACATGGAGTCGAACAATGGCGGCAAATCCACATCTTCTACCAAGGGATTAACGAGAATGCACGAACGGTCTTAGATGCATCAACCGGGGGAAATTTTATGAGTCAATCGATACCGGATGCTTTCATCATGTTGGATCAAATTTCTCAAAATCGGTTTGCCAAGTCAAGCGAGAGGACGGTTAGTGGAGCTAAGAAAGTTCCCGGAGTGTTGGAGTTAGATGCAATTACGGCCCTTCAAGCTCAAGTGACCCAAATTGCTCAACAAAATCAACTCCTTCTACAGCACATCAAAGCAAGTCCACCACAACAAGTTCAAGTAGTTGATTCTCCATGTTGTGAAATTTGCGGTGGAAATCACTACACGCTCCAATGCCAACAAGATGTGGAGTCGCTCAACTACGTCAACAATGCGCCTCGCCAATTCCAAAATCAAGGGTGGAGATCACAAGGGCAATATGGAGGAAATCAACAAGGCCAAGGGTATCAAAGACCTCAAGGTCAATTTCAAAATCAAGCCCCTCCTCAACAAAGCTATCAAAGCAACAATCCACCGGCCCAAAAATCACATACGGATGAGATATTGGCCCAATTCATGACCGCTACCCAAGCCTCGCTGCGGAATTTGGAGAATCAATTCGCTCAATTCGTTGTGAATCAAGAGAAACGTCCGGCGGGAGCATTGCCATCGAATACGGAAGATCCCCGAAAGCAAAAGTTCGAGACGTGCCAAGCTATCGATTTCAAGATCGAGAAAAAAGAAGAAAGTCAAGTCAAGCCGCAAGTCACTGTAGCCGAATGGGTCGAACCAATCCCATATCCACAAAGATTGTTAACGAAAAAGATCGAGGTCGAGACATGCCAAGCAGTCACCTTGAAGAACGGTAAGCAATTGGAGGAAGCCCCACGAAAGGAGAAGAGAAACACTGTAATCGAGAAGCCGAAAGTGAATGAGGAAAAAGAATCAACTCATGAAGAGTCACCATCAACGGTGCCTTCACAAGTCCCTCCAATTCCTTATCCTCAAAAGTTTATAATAAAGAAGCTCGATGCCGAATATCAAAGATTTTTGGACAAGTTGAAGGAAATTCGCATAAATATTCCTTTCATTGAAGCACTTCAAAAGATGCCAAAGTGGGTGAAATTCCTCAAGGACCTCGTGAAGAAAAGTAAGAAATTGCAAGGGAACGAGATGATCCAACTCACAGAGCAAATTAGTGCAATTCTTACTCGGCCTCTTCCACAAAAACTCGGCGATCCAGGTAAGTTTACTATTCCTTGCACTATAGGAGGTAAAAATTTTAGATCGCTCATTGATTTAGGTGCTAGCATTAATCTTATGCCGTACTCTACTTTTAAAAATCTTGGGTTAGGAGAAATTGAACCGACGGCTATAACTCTTCAATTAGCCGATAGATCTTTAGTTTACCCAAAAGGTATTTTAGAGAATGTGCTAGTGAAAGTCAATAAATTTATCTTTCCTGTCGATTTCGTTATACTTGATATAGATGAGGATAGGGAGATACCTCTTATCGTAGGGAGACCGTTTTTAGCCACGTCGAAAACTCTCATTGATTGTGCTAGTGGTGATCTTACAATGACTGTGCATGATCAAACAATCAAATTCAATGTTTTTAGTGCTAATAAAAATCCATATGATAATAATGATTGTTTTGCTATTGAGCTTATGGATTTTACAAATAATGAAAAGTTTGATGTTTCGATCTTGGAAAATGGGAACGCATGATGCAGGAGATGATGGCGGAAACGGGAATCGGACGGAGCAAGTTTATTTCATGGACTCACTTTTAAATCCTCCGAGAGAAAGTCATGCGAGTCGAGGTCTTAACAACGATGAGAATGCAAGGAAGATGTTGCCACCCAAAAGCTCGAGCAAGTCACGAGAGAAGGATGAGTCAAGCTATTGTGGTCGTAAGGAGAAAATCAAAAAGGAATTGCACAAAGGACAATTGGTGTTATTGAGCAAATCCCGTCTTTGGTTATTTCCAAGGAAGCGCAAATCAAAGTGGTCGCGGCCATTTATTGTCCAAGAAATTCTTCCTCACGAGGTGGTCAAAATAAAGGAGCGGGATTCAAATCGTACGTTCAACGTAAAATGGAGCCGGCTCAAACCGTATTGGGAAGCGAGTGAAGATTGCCAAGTGACTTCGGTCACTTTTGCTTGAAATTAAAGAAGCAACGTCCGGCTGAAGACTTTAAACTTAGCGCTTCTCGGGAGGCAACCCGAGCTTTATTGTTTTTCGTATTTTTCTTTAATTTTTCGTTTTTTTTTAATATCATAAGCATGCATTCTAATTTATAATTTTAATTTTACTTTTCAGGGTCGAAAACGTGATCGAGAGTCGAGTCGGACGTCCGCAAAAAAAAAAAAAAAAAAAAAAAAAAAATTTGCACCACTGCCTGTGGGACGGTCGTCCCAAAACCAGTAAGGAGAAAAAAATTTCGGACGGCCGTCCGAAATTTAGCACAAAAACCGGGACGGCCGTCCGAACCTAGTTGGGGCGTTTTAAATGTTTAAAAATCAGATCTTCTCCCCCATTATTTCCTAAACCCTCTTCTTTCCTTCTCTCCAACTCTCACACACAAAAGGAAGCTAGAGTATCAAACCAAATTCTCCAAAATCTACTCTTTCAGGCACGCCCACAAGGTGTTCGAAGCCGCACGAGTGAAGCTTCATCTTCTAAAGGCAAAGGAAAAGGCAAGAAAAGTGCCACCAGAACGACGATTCCTCTTCCAAAGCCGCTCCTCAAGCCCGAGACGACCCCGAAGCCTCAAGCTCCCGTGCCGATCGACGATTCCAAATGAAGATGGAGCGAGAGAGCTTTCCG